GAGAGAGAGAGATGGATGTCGGAAGTGCACCTGAAAACAAGAGGGAGGTGGGCTTCACACCAGTGTGGAGCAGGAACTCCCATGTGAGAAAGCAAGGACTGGGACAGCCTGGGGCACAAAATCAATAAAAAAAAAACAAAACAAAACAAAACAAAAGCAAAAAGAGCCTTCTCTCCTAAATTGGCACAAAAATCATAACAACCGGAGCAAACTAGAATTCCTTTGTAAAACTTCCAATATCCAAATACTGCACATAATTCCAATATACAGAGATGGGTAGGGAACCCAATAAAAAATACTGCACAAAAAAGAGAGACGAAAGAAAATGGAATTGTCAAAGCTTAATCCATCATAAAACCAAAGCTTAATCAAGTCCGTGGGAAGATCCAAACATCACATTATGCTACAAAAACTATAAATACAAGGCCCTTCAAAAGATTCTGACTTGTTTCTACTCCTATGAGAAGCATGGTTGGGGTCACTGATACTCCCATTGGCTTCAAACCTGAACCAGAATATAAAAAATTAACAGTGAGGTAATGAAGTTTTCGGCAATATGATTCACAACATCATATGAACAAATATTAAGAGCACAAACATTCTCAGTCACCAGATTCACAACATACAAGAAAATCAATATACCCCATATTATTGTGAAACCCACATTGGTACTCATATGGAGGGGACTAACCATGAAGCAGTACTTTAACTGGCTTGAGAAATCAAAACTCACAAGTATAGATGACGGCTAATCATACCAAGTGCTACATATAGATGGTCAATTTTGCCTGTCATGACCAATGACAGGCATCCATTGCACTCTCTTACTCATCCTCTCATATTAAGGTTCAAATCTCACATTGGAATGTAGTCCCTTCAGCTTTGCACATATTGATAACTACAGTCATATGGGAATTGGAAAGTTTACAAGGAGGTGGGATCCACAAAAAGCATGGGAGTACTTGTCGAAGTAGTGACAGCATTGGTAGATGCAACATGTCGTATGGTAATCTTTTCCATGTCTGCTCTAGCAACAACCTTATCGCAAGCCTCTTGCAGAACCTTCTTTGCATAATCATATACACCCATACTCACTGCCCCATGCATTGATAGTATGTTGGCCCATCGACCTAGATCATCATAACGTGCATAATAGGCCTCCTCATTAGCTCGTATTTGATCCCCATTATTATAAAGAGCTAAGCCTTTTGTCACATCCTTCGTCCATCGTGTCATTATATAGTGTTGGGGTAACTCTAGGATATTTTTCAAGGAGAACACCCTAAGCATATGAGCACATGGGATACCCATGCGCTCATATAGATGGCAAGAACATGCTGCTTTCTTCTCAGTGCCGTTGAATACAACTGTTTGCAGCAGGCTACTGACTCCATATTCTTCCAAACTACAAGTACATGCCACCCCATCTTCCTCTTGCACTTCACATATAAGATCATTGGATCTCACCAACTCTGGCTGAATGTACTCTGTAAAAATTTTCAAGGTGTAAATTTGACCCATCTGCCTCTCCATGCGAGTCCCAGTCTTCATAGCCGGTCTTTTGTCGCGAGAAATTAAGTCTTCTATGTTCTCATTGTCAAACTTTTGATCAATCAATTTTTGCAACTGGGCAACAAGTGGAGTCAAGTTGGTATGGGAATCTACAAGATCCTTGATTTCTCTATTAATGGATTCACTTCTCTCATTGGTCGTATAGCCTGCAAAGAATGCATCTTGTGAATATATATATACCCATTGATGTCGGATTTCATATATGTACTGCAACCAGTCATTATTCATTAGATCATATCTTTCGATCATGTTTGACCACCTATCTTCAAATTCCGTAATTGTGGTGCAATGGTCAATGCACCTGTAAAAATCCTCATGGAATGCTGTATATCTACCCTCAACATGGCCAAAATTTCTCTCAAACTCTTGTGTAATATGCCACCTACACAAGTGATGTCGGGCCTCGGGGAACACCTTTTTTATTGCAAGAGCTATTGCCTTGTCCTGGTTTGTGAAAATTGCCTTGGGTTGGCGCCCATTCATCACCTCAAGCCACTTTGTGAACAACCATGTAAAGGATTCCTCATGCTCTCCATATAGCAACGCACATCCTAAGATAATGATATTCATGTGGTGGTTTACTCCCAAAATTGGGGCACAAAGCATCTCAGAGTCATTGATTTTGTATGTATTCTCAAATAGAATGACATCCCCAAAGAACTCACTTGATATCCTAGATTTTGCATCCAACCATAGAGCATTTGTCAGGTGCCCATCGCGATCAACATCGATCTTGTATGCAAATAATTGGTTCGCCACAACCTTAGAAATAAAAATTTCCATTAACCCCTCTACATCCCCTACACTCAAATGTGATTTTCTTTGACTTCTATGGATTTCATTATTAGAATCTCGCTCAATGAAATTGAGATTTCTTTGCCCACCAACATCTGTACTAAGCACGTTCACTATCTTTGGGGCACCTATGCCACAGCCACATGAATTACACATACCGGTCACTTCTCTTTTGGTCTCTAGAGATTTACGATGTGATCGAAGGAGATGGACTTTGGATGGTGAAGTCAAGGCATGACAATGCTCCTTCTCATGTTTTGCAATGAACCATATACCAGAATCATCTTTTTTTATTCTTAGCATAGCTTTGCACCCTAGCCTTGAAAGGGGCCGAGTCCGATTGCTCTCACGTGTCTTATCCCGATAACCCGCTTTTGAACATACATATTCACGAGTGATAACTCTACCATCTTTCTTTGATCGCTTTGTCGAATAACAACGAACACTGAAGCCCTTCCGTTTTGCATATTCATTATAGTAATCATAAGCAGCTTCAGGGGACTCAAACTGCATACCCACTCGTGGGTCCTCTCCACTAGGTTCAGATGATGCTAGGGGCTCCACCATGATTGCCTCACTCGGCTCAACCATGTTCATCTCACTTGGCAATTTTGTTAACCCCTAAAGAATAAAGATAATTTAATTAAAAACAAATAGCAGATACAAATAATTGAGGGCTGCAATGTCATATATAAGGATTTAAGTAATGCAATGAGAGAAGAGAATGAGTGCTTACCACAAAGGAATGGAAATCTATAAAGAGAATCACATAATAGAATACTCTTCCAAAATTTTCTATAGGCTTAAGTCCACCAAGAAAATGAAAAATAAGAAACTTGGTTTTTGATAGAGTAGGAGCACCATTCAATAATAACATTTTGACATGCACATTGGCTTATTCATCATTAAGATTGCATATTGTGTATGTTGAAATTCAACATATAACAAACTCCAATACCATCAAAGCCCCAAATCTTAAAACTGAGTTTTCCTGCCTTCCTTTATTGTTTTAGTAGAACATCATAGCCACCAATGCTACTATAGTTGTCAACAATATGTCTTTGTATTCTGCTTAAAAAATCAATTGCATGCTCCATTTAAGGTATGTCTCCTAAATTTTCCAAATGCTTATTCTATATGATGGACATCACCCAAGTATCAGTTCTCACAATATGCCACAAATCAATTCGCTAATAGAATTTGTAAAGAATGACATACTTCATTGTTGTTCTATGAAATATTATCAACAATTTTATAAGTAATGAACTAATCATATCTCCCTTCCACCATATCAGGTTTCCTCGCCCCAGGCTCCAAAACATCATGAAACCTCCTAGATACATAAGTTTTGAGGGTGAAATAATCAAAATCAAACAATAGGTTCTCAAATCATTGCTAGATTTAAGTTTAATGCGCACCAAAAAATTCACAAGTAAACCGAGTATGCATTGCATCAAGTAACCAAAAGGATTTGCATCAAAAAAATCTACACCATATTTAAAAAAAAAAAAGACAAGCAAATACAAAAAGAGATAATATACTAACCAGCTCTAGCAGTTACAAACCCCAGATGGGGGGAGATGGAAGAGATAGCTTTAGATAGTATGGTTAGTCATATGGTTATCCATGATTGATGTGTTTAAAATAACACATTTGAGGAGTCTACATAATGTTGATAGTCACTAACCTCGGATATTCCAATGAAGCAAAATGGAAGAAAAATACTAGCTAAAGTGAGCTTTATCCTAGAATGTTCAGCTAAACAACAAAATTTCTCATTAATTCTATGGTAGGGTCCTTTGGACTTTACTATAAACTGTATCTAGACCACCGTCTACGGAATAACTGCTTAAACAGAAACATCCCTCTGAACTTTTAGCACCATTGGAAAGATTTCCAATACAAACAACTACAAACTTGAGCAATACAATACAGACATTTCCAAAATAAAATTTCATCCATATAAGCTCTAAAATTCAATCCAACTACAAAACCATCAAATCAGTTTGAGGCAACATGTATTCAAGAAAATGGTGTAGAAAAATCTGTTCAATGTCAATTAAAGCGATTTCAACCTTGTTCATATTACAAAGAATTTCAAAGCTCACTATGAAATTTCAGTGTTCAACTCTTCATAAAAAAGAAAGAAAAAAAAATCAGCTTTCGATTACTTCTACATTTGCTTGACAATCTGTAATACCAACATTAAAAATCAATCCAAACTTAAGAAGACACGCAATGAAGGTGCATAGTATCCATCACATATAGCATTAAACGCATTAAGCTCAGAGAAATTAGAACAACAAATGGCCACCAGTTATCACAAATCCAAATCTAAACCAACAAATTTGCTACAAAAATTATCAGGGAAAAATTCATTTAGGAAATAATTCAATCATCGACCCTTGCTGAGTTTCTTCATAATGCAAAAACGACAGAGCATGGTAGCCTTCTTCGCAAAGCAGAAATTCCCAACCTTCTATATGCACTTAACTAAACAAGCAACCATCTCTATTAAAGATTTAGGGAAATGAAAATTAGATAATCAATTTTGCAGAAATTAGCCATGCAAACCGCATACATAGTTCCACCAACTCGTGCCATTTCTCTCCCGCAAACCTTTACTTATCTTGTGCTTTTGAATCATTCGCATCAGAACAAGAACTTGGACACACATATCAGAATCTCACAAAAACCCCACTCAAAACCATGCAGGGAGAGAGGCTGAAAAAGCTTGAATTCAGAGCCAAAACCAAAACCCAAGAAAACCATGCAGGGAGAGAGGCCAAAAAAGCTTCAATTCAGAGCCAAAACCAAAACCCAAGATCACAACCAAATAAGGGAAGAAAAACCAAGATAATTACCCTTATAATTAGGGGAAAAAGGAAAATAAATTTGAGAAAGAGAATTACAGAAAGATCTAGATTGTAGTTCCTTATGACTATGAATAACATCAAGAGACAGAGAGAGGGACTTAAATTAGCACCATGCAACTGAGTACTGAATGAATCAAGGCAGGGTGAAATGAGAACACAGGCCCAACAAAAGCTATGAACTCTAGAGAGAGAGCCAATAAGTAATGAAATTACACCTACAAAAAAGAAACCCTAAATTGCAGTAGATAATAGATCTGCAAATTAAATACCTTCTTCAATGGAGGTGGCGCGGGAGCACAGCCCTTACAACAGTGAAGGAGATGGGAAAGAGAGGGAAAATCAAAGGTTTTTCTCTCTCTAGGGCGAGATTTTGATGGTTTCCCTTCTTCGAGTTTTGGGTAAAAGTCGGACGCAACTATTCAAAGGCGATATCCTTCCACAATTTCAACCGTTAACCTAATTCTTTTATGGATAATTATTTGGTGCATTCAAGCCCGCACGGTCCGGGCCCGAGATCTACACCATCCACCAAAAAAAAAAAAAATTAGATCTACACCACAAATGATAGTCTTTGAAAAGAAAAAGTAAAATCAGCAGTTCAAATATTTTCTCCAAAAAATTTCATTTCTAGTTTTTAAATTTTATTTATTTTTACAAATTAATAATCTACATGTTAAAAATTATATATTCCTTAAAAATTAGAATTAAATTCTATTTCAAAAATAAATTATTAAGGGGCTTTCATTTATATATGTGAGTTCCTAAACTCATAGAAACCATGTCCATATTCTATGGGTGTGGTTTTTATAAGGCTGTAACCTTAAACAATCAGATTAAAAGCACTTCCAAATTTTATTATAAGTATTATTTTTGTTAGAGAATGGCCACAAAGGCCTCATGATCACTATAGTGTAGTTGGTCTCTCTCTTACTTTCTATTTTTAAATGCATTAAATTCAATTTAATTATATTATATATTTGTTATAATGGTCTCATTACATTCAAATCCTTTGACTATCTTTTACGATATATTTCATTCAATTTCTTCATTTTTTTTAACCACCCATCAATGATATTCTAACAGTCACATTAAACCAAACCTTTTTTTTTAAGAAATAAATAGAATAATATAAAATAAAAAAAAAAGCTTAGTTATTGATATGGGCATATCGAAATCTAGACAATTGGATGAAAAACATGTCATATGTGGCAAGGGGAGAAGCTCCAATGCTTATAAAAGGGGCAAACTCACTCATTTCAGTACACATATAAAAATCTTAGAGCCAGTACTCCTTCTCTAGTTATCCATAAGCTGTACATAAAAATGTTTTTTTTTCATATCTTTCTCTCTATCATTTCAACCTAATTGTTTTTTTTTTTTTCTGGAAATTTTGGTATAAAAAATGCTTAGTATCGCTTGAGAATCTATTTTTATCTCTAAATATAAAATCTTAAACTCCCAAAACGGATCAAATTAAGTAGATCTATAAAGACTTGAAAATGGATGGTCCAAATGATTTGTTGTAAGATACACTATTTTTAAGGATGAAAATATTTGTTTCATTTTATATTCACATGTCTCAATGTCGAGATTATCAATTAGATGGTTTTCCAACATCAAAACAACCTTCCATGATGGACTTTTGAAGTGCACCTTAATTCTACATTTTAAGGTCGCAACCTTATATACAAATTTTCATATTTTATTGGTCACTTTGTTGTATGTCATTTTTTACTTACTTATGTCCATCACACGAATAATGAGAGAGCCAGTGACAACTCTGTCATGCTAGTAGTCGAAATATAGATAGATCAAAGTTGTACTGCGAAATAAGCCTCAAGCTAAACAACTTGAGAATAATACTATTGTATACCTTACAACTATAGCCCCTTGCTAACAGCTTCAGAACAGTACCAGACCACCACAGTCCCATTTAGAACATCAAAAAACCCCTGATGACCAATTTTGGGCTTAATCGAACCATCCAAAAGGGGTATATGCCCAAACTTCCTAAAAGCGGGTAGGTTTTATACTATTGTGGTACAGCTTCACTGAACCAGTTCGCAAGCATGGAGACTACGACGTCACATCTCGAGAGGGACTTCAATGACACACATAACCTTCTTCTGGACTTAGAATAAGCTCAAACTTTGACATGCTCTAGATCACGACAATCCCGTCATTTTGACCTAGGGCATGCACCGTGGCGCGACCCAAAGTCAGACTTATTCTGGAAAGAAGGTGAGCACAAAACCAAAAAAATTAGAGTTTTAAGAAGAAGACATCTCGAATCTCATGAAGCACAATTCAAGATCCGCGCATCCGATCATCGTGAAAACGAGTTCAATGCAACCACCTCGTGAAGAGCTGCGAACTGGTATAACTGTTGTACTTAACCCAAGGACGAATAAGCACAAATCCCAAGATTACAAAAGAAGCAGGACTGCTCAGTTGCCAAAATCCCGTTTCTGATGACCTCCCAAATTATGAAATGATGCAGATACAAACCAAAATGGATCAAACTTGGTGCAAAACGACTGTGATAGTCTCATCTTTCACCTACAAACAAAATAAATACTTATAGCATCACAAGTTGAATAGCCTTGGCCACCAAGGTTCATGAATCTGGCCAGACTTCCACCTCATGGAAAAAAACTGCCTCGGCACGATTAAAGGCATAAAAACGCTCAGAATCGAACAAGCATTGAAGATATAACAACAAATCATTTGAACCATCGCTACAAATTTATGGAAAAGCTTAAAATATCTGGCAATGGCGGAAGACCCCTCAAAGAGGTATGGTTTTGTCATTAGCAAAAAAGGCTTTGGGGGCATTTTGGTTATTGGACCTAATTTCGTGATTTTATTTTAAATTCTTTTAGTGCTAATTAAACGTAGTTTTTTAGCATCCACCCCTGTTCGGTGAGTTCTCTATGTAAACAAGCATAAGTCACTTGTAAAAGAGTGGATTATTCATCACTCAAATAGAGGCATCACATTGTTTTCACTCATTTTTTGTTTCTAAACCCTTAATCCCATCGAGATGAGAGATAAACTTTCTGAGAGAAAATACCCTTGAGTGTGCAGTCTCATTCTCTCTCTTTCATAAATCAAGCTACACCCGGAGTTGGCGAGCTCTCTCTGTCTTCTCCTCTAATTGCCACCTGCCCCCGCGCAGCAACCACATCCGAGACGGACATAGTCACGAGTGAACCCAAGAGTTCTAACCCTCAAGACACCGCCCTAACTTCCTCTCATACAGTCGAGTTGAGCTGAGACACGCATACGCTCTCTCCCTCAATCACTCGGGAGGAGTCAGCTTGAGCTGGTAGACAAGAGGGATCCAACTCTTCAATTACCTCAACCGCCCAATCGCCCAACTCTCATGCGAAGAGGGAGAGCTTTACTACCCTTACTTCGCAGCTTATCCCTTTCGCCAATTAGCATCCTTGAGGGAATTGACATGGGGAGGGACGATCGAACCCCCATCGCAATTGCAAGCACGAGAGAGAGAGAGAGTGAGAGAGAGAGAGGAGATATTTTGAAAGCCTGAAGAGAGCCCCTGTCCAAACTGCACTGGCAGACATTCGGATGGCTTCGTCATTGTTCTAAGAGGGTGAACCGCCAGGGTGTGTCTCCCGAACCCCAAGCGGCGAGGCAATCATCTGAACGTACAACGGCTGTAAAAATCTCTCGTTGTTGGTTCCTATTCGCGCTCAGAAGAGTTCGCGTATGCGCACCTGGCAAATGTGAGACGTGCACAAACCCTCCGCGGTTATTTGAGAGAGGATTTTTCTCCCCCCGTGAGCACCCCTCATCCGCACGAGGACTGAAGCAAAAATTAGGCCGTGACCAAGTTGTCACTAGCTCTCTCCTTATTCGTGCGAGGGACATAAGTACGTAAAAAATGACCTACAACACACTTATTTGAAGCATCAAGATATGAATACAGTGTTTTTGAATCATCAATCTTGATCGGTAATCAATAAGAACTTAATTAGTTATTTGACTCATTCAGGAAGTATTATATCATGGAAACATGTTCTTCTGTTAATAAAATGGGGACCCATATAGGCAATTCGCCCAGCTCCCAACTTTTCTTTTTTTTTAGAGTGTCTAAAATTTGTTGGAGCTGATTCCCGCACCAAAGACCCATCAGTTTTGACCCATATCGGTTTATCTGGTGAATGATTCAACAACTTGATCAGGATTTAATAATGTTATGTGAATGTGGGAAAAATATATATATTAAATGTTAAAAATAAGGAAATTATTGTTAATATCTCTATTTTTTTTAAAAATGAACTTACCAAAATTCCTCCTATTTTTTTCTATTTTCTATACCTAAAATGGCTCTGTACATGCTCGACAGATATGCCAAGTCCGTGGAGCTCATTTGTTATATGCATAGGGAGCACCATTTTGGTGTTTGAGACCTTTATAGACCCTGGTTAACCCTTTAAATGCATGTAAGGTGTCCATATAGGGGTGGCAGTGGGTTGGGTTAGGTATGGGTCCAAACGGACGCAATTGGACCCAACCTAAAAATAAAAATATATGTTTTTCGATATATTTAAATATAAAAAGTATATAATAAAACCATTTACCTTTGGTACAAGATGGTCACAATTAATCTTGACCATTGGATTTGAAATTGGATGGTTGTATTAATTCCATTAACCAAGCTCAAATTTCAAAAGAAATTTTCTCGAACTTTGTAACATATCCCAAGCTGCCAGATTTCACATCAGATAGTTGCAAATAATTGTGAACTCCTTGTATCAAAGGTACATGGAATAATTGTATACAATCGTCAGCATCATCATGTTAGCTTTTTCCCAATTAATTGAGGTCGGCTTCATTGTATACAATCCCATTTAAATAAATTATATATATATATATATATATATATATATATATGTGCGGTTTGTATAGAGCCAAGGCTCTGAGCAATCAAAGTAAAGCGTGCATTCAAATAGTGTCGAGAAATGCGATTTAAATACTGGAAATATTTGTGATAGCCTTAAAATATATTTAAAGCTTCACAACTAGTAGATCCAGCAGGTCTATGAAAATCATGAAAATTGATGGTAAAAAAATACGTTACAAGATGGACTATTTTCAAAACTCGAAATACATTTTTCTCATGTCCATGCATCTTGATGTCGAGATAATCAAATTTGGAATATTTTGACATCAAAACAACCTCTTCTAGCAAAAGTTTTGAGGTGGGCTCTAATTTTATTGTTTAGAGCCTCGGCTCTATATAAATTTATTTATAATTTAAATAATGTAACTAAAAATATATGATTAATTCATTTAAATACTATTAAAATATTATGTATTAAATATTATTTAAATAACAACACTATTCGGATTAGGGTCGGGTTGGGTCCATGTCGACCTAGACCCAACCTGACAGGTCCAATTCT